TCTGCTGTGGTTTGCCTATTTCTTTTTCACTTGAAATCTTCTGTTGAAAGACAGATTATTACAATTTTTACATGCCTTTTTGACATTGCAACTTTACTACATAAAGAACATTTTCTCTATTAATGGATAACACTAATCATCTGGAGTCAATTAAATTGCTTGCAAGCGGTAACACCAGTTACCTGAGAAACAGCACTAAATGGGGTGGCTGATTTTTCTTTTCACCCTAAATGCTAATTACCTTAGCATCACAGAAGAAATATTAACTTACAACATATATAATTTCTGTTTGAAATAATTTTCTGTGTATTTGGGATTTTTTAATTCAGACAAAAACATGGTCTATTACAGCAGTATACAGAACCTATTCCCAAATACATGGCCCTTGAGTAATAATCTTAGCTTTGCCATCCAGTTTCCTGACTTGGGTTTTGGCTGGGAACTATTTACTGCAAGATGTCAACAAAGGCACTGCTGGTTGTTTTAATTGTACTTTTCTCACCTTAACATATTTGGTTTCTTTTAATGTTCCTGGTCTTATACTAATTTTCTTGTAGAATTAATATGTCCAAGTTTTTAATCACAACCTATTTAGTACACACAACTACTTCAGCAACAGTATGTTCCACAAATTAGCAAGGGAATTAGTCTAGGAATATAACATTATAACATAATCCATCGTAACAATGGGAAACAGTATTTATGCTAACATATACAAAAGGAGGCTGAAAGGTTTTCCTTCCAGCATTTTTGACTGCATTCAAAAGTTGTAAGTTGTACCTCTAACTTACGTTTCTGGTTGCTTCAGAGAAAATATCCCACACCTGGTCTTGCAAGGTGATGTCAGTAATTCTCAAACTGTTCTTCATCCAATTCTGTGCCAGAAAGAAAAACAACAATAACCAAAAACATGCATCTCTGATACATTTACTTTATGAATCTCTTAAATCTCATAATGCCTGTGTACTGTTACAAGGATATACCAATATAAGAGCCTCTCAATTGCCTCACTAACAGTAATCCAGAAGAGCTAAATATGTAGAAAAGATAATCTTCAAGCTTTTGAATATAGCTGGTTGTGTTAATGTCCTGCCAAACCTTCTGACTGACTCTTTCCATGAGGTAAAACATTAGGATCTGATCTTACTTATTTGTGTACTGGACAGATAGCCATGCTCCTAAATGGATAGCTTAGTTTATTACAGAGAAGTAAAACTTAAGCAAATATCTCAATGCAAACATCTGAAAGTTTTTAGGGCTATTGCAGGAATTCCTGCTGAAAATAAAAACAAAGCAGTAAATTTCTACAATGAACTGCAAAAACTTTTAATCTTCTGCTGCAGATCTTACCAAAAAGCAAGAGGCTTCTTGACAGTATCACTTTCCCTACTTAGAATACTGATTTTGTAGAAAAGCATTCTAACCTTCAGCTTGCTAGCAGCAATTTCACTGCAGCTCTACTAAGTTCTATCCGAGTGCTTTGGAAAAAATCATGATCTCTCTCAGCCTCACAATCTGAGGCACAGAACAGAGAGGAAAATAAATAAATAAGTCAATAAATAAATAAATAAGGCCAGCTTGTCAGTAATTCTTTACTGATACCACATGAAACATTTGGAACTTGCTTTGGCTGTGATGCAAAGTTTAGTGCAGCATGCAATGTGGGGGATTCTGTTAGAATCTGAGCCACAGGAAAACTCTCAGTATCTTGCCTCTACCAGGAAAAAAAATAAAAGCATAGAAATAAGAATCCTTTATGAGCATGTCTAAGAACTTGAACACTTATTAAAAATTGCAAATATATAAAAAAGGAAATTGCAAATATATATAAAAAAAGGAAAGGTATCAAAAAAAGGAACAAGCCTATGTATGGAGATTAAGCTTGAATGCTAAGTCTCTGGCTTGCTACCGAATTAAAGTGACAGAGATTCTTTTTGAGCAAGGAGACATATTTTACAAACACTACGATATTTGAAACTCCACTATTACACCACCTATTTACTAATGCCCAAAAAAGCAATTTCTCCCACCTTTATTAAAAGAGAGTGGCTCTCACTACAACAAATCTCTATTAAAACATACCTGAAACTTTACTTTTTTTCTTGGAATGTTATCAAAGCTACGCATTTGCTCCAGAATGTTCCGCACTTTGGGGCTTATGTTTGGCTTCTTTATTACTTCATGAATTTTCTGAATGAAGAAAAACAGAACTAAATCAGCAAAGAAGCACAAAGATCAAGTGATACATGCAAGGTACGTGTCCTGGTTTCAGCTCTATCAGTTAATTTTCTTCCTAGTAGCTGGTGCAGTGCTGTGTTTTCGTTTTAGTCTGAGAATAATGCTGATAACAACAGCTGAAACACGGGTGTGTTAAGTAATGCCTACCCTGATCAAGAACTTTTCAGTCTCTCATGCTCTGCCAGTGAGGAGGGGCACAAGAAGCTAGGAGGGAGTAGAGACAGGACACCTGACCCAAACTAGCCAAAGGGGTATTCTATACCACAGCACATCTCAGCACAGGAGAACAGAGGAGGTCAGGCCAGGACCTTGTGGCATTTACTTGAACAGCACTGCTGCCCTGCTTCCCATTATTTAAAGATACTGGACACTGGAAAGCCTGCCTGTACTTCTGAAAATCTGTTTTCTAAACGGCTTTGTGGATGTCTTAAGACTACGAGGAAAGGGCACGCTGTAATTATCCCTCACCTTTCTATGTAGAAGAGACTTACTGTTGAGGAAAGCTAACAATTTTCATAAGCAGCAGCATTCACATCACACTGCCTCTGAACAGTGTACTTAAAGAATGTTCCATCTCAACAATGGCACTGATCTGTTGACATCAATGGTATTATTCATATGCCTTATCAAACTAGTAAGACATAGATTCAAAATAAACAAAAGGTGCATTTCTTACCAGGATAAGCAACAGACCTACTAAGAAACTGCCAAAGCAAGCTGTGGATACTAGGAAAACAGATCCTCAGTTTGATCAAATATAGCCTCTGCTGCATCTTTAACAATTATAAACAACAGCCATTTATCATATCTATATATAGTACAAATCTTACCTGAATCCACTCTTGTTGTTTAGCATCTCCTTTGTTAGTTTTGGCTTCAAAATCTTTTCCACCATATTTCTGGTCTTCACTTACGCACTTCACATGCTCTTTATAATCGTCACCCCTGAACAAAGGAGATTTTTAACTGTAATTCACTGGAGTCCTTTGAACCACACAAGACTTACAAACCCAACAAATGGAAGTAAAATATAGCACCTATCATTGAAATCCTAATACTATCAATGCTTATATGAGTAAAGTATATGCTTGTAAGACTGCTGACATTTCTGCCATGCTACAGCCTTCAGTAAAAATTTCTGACTTGCAAAACCAGAGGACTCTTCAGTATAGTGCTGCTTTTCTTAATGACTCTCTAACTTAGGCACATTTGTATATGTAACATATACATGGCTATTAATATATTTATCTGTGTTTTACTACTCATATTGACACCATTTAACAATAGAAAAGCAGGTGAAAATGTTTGCAAAAACCTAATTCCTAAATATAGATATACTAATGTGGTATTGTAGCTCTGACCAATGTGTAAATATCGCCCAAAGCAATGAATAACATAGAACTTCATCTTTGTCAGTAAAGTACTGAAAAACATAATAATTATTTGAGGACATTATTTTCTTACGCAAATTCATATATTTATATTTAGAAAGCAGACAGTGGCACTGCTTTCTTCTGAGTTCTGAGAAGTGACAACCCAATTCAGAATTTTCAGTGTTATTGCCAATCTCACTCTCTCTGCAATAACTGAATAGTAGCAGTTGTGGGTGATCACAAGCTGAAACCATAAAATACTGCACCTCTGTTTACTGCGGGGTTTAGTTGTCCTGGTGGTTCAAACTTGGGTGACTAAGCTTGAAGTTATGCAATTTATAAATAAATTTATAAATAATTTTCAAATACAAATACACATTATTCAGAAATTGCCTGATTTTAATATGTCGTAGGAAAGTCTTATATTGGTGACAAGCACTGCTGAGTGAGCATACGATACTCTACCTACCAGAAATCCTTGCCACAATCCATGCAAGAAAGGCACTGACAGTTCCTGCAGATGTTCACATGTTTTTCAACCTGTGCTTTCTTCACAGACTCTCCACACGCATTGCATGTGAAAACCACCATGCTGGCGAGTGGTCAGCAGCTTCTATGAACTGGGTACAATCTGTTTCCTCCCACACAAGCAGAGCCCTAGAAATACGAGGAGGAGATCTTAGGTTTACAGCTTGAAAGATGCACTCGAACGACTGAAAATGAATGCAGCTGTTCATCCTCCCGCAGAAAACCTAAGCAGTTTGATTTATGCATGCTCAGAAGCAGCTAATTTCGCCTGGTACCTGTGCACAAGGGAAACCAGTAACCCTGAAACCAGTACTCCCCTATTCCACCTACCCCATGCCGGTGCGTTTCTCAAGTTCACGGTTCCCCTCCGCTTCCCGGTGCCACCACCCCGTCCTTCCGTCCCGCTCCCTGCAGCCCACCCGTCTCCACCGGGTGCGGGCGAGCGGCACCGGTACGCGGAAGCCGCCTGATGGGGGCCCAGCCATATGGGGCGGGAGGGACAGAAGGAAGGCCCTCGGCAGCCCTGCCCTGCCCTGCCCTGCCCTCACCTCACCTCGCTCCTGCTCCCCGCACACATTGCCCTCCGCTCCGCACCGCGCCTCAACCCCCACCTACCAACAGTCCCCGCAACGGCACGTGAAGTCACCGCCCTGCGCCTGCGCGGCCCTCACCCCGCAGCGGAAGCGGAAGCGGAGAGCGGCAGCGGAAGCGGCGGGAGGTGTGGCTGAAGCTGCCGCCGGGCGGTTGAGCGGGGATGGAGCTGGGAGACGGCGGAAGCCGGTAAGTGCGGGGCTGAGCAGGGCCGGTTCCTTCCCCTCCGCGCCTCTGCCAGGCCGGGCCGCGTTACCCCCGCCGCGGTGGGTAGCGCTCTGCCCGCCCTCAGCCCTGTCCTCCTCGGAACCCGTTACCCATCCCGCCTGCGGTGTCCTTTGCTTGGCCGCGGTGCCGGCTTGTCGCCTGATCCTGGGCAGAGCTCGCTCTTCCCTCGGTGCTCGATCTTGTCCTCTGAAGCAGACGCTCCCGCTGTGCCCTGCTCCGTGCCGGGCCTTGAGTCAGGCACGGCAGCTTCAGCGTAAATAGCGGGTATGCTGCTGGGGCTCCGCTTGCTCGGAAGCGGCTCACGGCGGCCACCTTCTCAGGTGGGAGAGTCTGAATTCAGGGGTGCTGCAAGATGCTGTGAAAGCTGTTATCTGGGAAACAGACGTGCTCGCTTTATTTTAAAGCGTGGTAATGCTTTATATATAAAAATAAAGATATGACAAGAATAGTAAGAACTAGAGTGTAATAGCCCACTTTAATGCGGCAGGAGGAAGTGAATCACGGAATAACACAGTAAATGTGGAGCCCTTAGCACTCCTGAGAATTGGAAACGGGGGCAATCACTTTCTTGTCATGTTTAACCCAAGGTGCTTTTTCTGCTTCATTCATTAGTTAAAAGACTGTTATCAGTTCTAATTGTTCTAATAGTTGGAATGTGCCTTTCATATTTATAAGTGTGCAGGGGAAGAGTTTAATCCTTTTTAAAAAAAAGGATTGAATGGAAACGTGTTTTGTGGGAATGTTACTTGTCTTCCCTTCAGCCTGTTCGAAGAGGTGACTTTTAAAAGAGATATCGCATTGTATTAAAAATAACAAAAAGTTGCCATGCTAACTTGTCTAATGAATGAGATTCATGTGGGAAATGTGCTTCCCTACAACAACAAATTGGGAATAAATAATGCTACTACAGTGCTCTTCCTTTTAGTTTAGAGGTTGTAGATGCAGGTTTTCTTCTACAAATGCTATTGGTTTTGTAGGTATGATACGGTTTTGCCTTAGAATCTAATTCTTGTCCGAAGTTGTCTAAATTGAGGTTTTTTTATTGTTATAGAGTTCAGTTTATTGGCAGTCCCTTTAGCATGTTTTGGCAGAAGGTGTTTGTTGCAAGAAAATCTTAATTAAAATCAATATTTCCTACCTGTATGTCTGCATATCTACTGGTGAGCATACTTGTGGCTCATCTTTGATCAGAAAAATGCCATTAGAGCTCACAATGCAGGTGTAAACTGAAGTCTGTTTCCTTGGGAACCTAAACAAATTGTAAAAATGTTCTTGATTTTCTAAGTTAATTTTTGCAATTTAATATTTAAGATTCATCTTAGCATTTTATTTCATTGTAGGTAATTTAAGTGATTTTCTAGCATGGACACTGTTGCTAGCCATAGTTGTCATCTTCTCCAGCAGCTACATGAACAGCGCATTCAGGGTCTTCTCTGTGACTGCATGCTGGTGGTGAAAGGTGTCTGCTTCAAAGCACACAAAAATGTATTAGCTGCTTTCAGTCAATATTTCAGGTATGTGACAGAAAATGGTTCGTTTCAAAAAGTGAACTTAAATGCTGTTGGTTGAGTTTTTCTCTGAGAAGGGTATTTTTTTGTGGTAGTTGCAGACTAAGGAACTGTTGGAGTATAAGGGGAAAGATAAATTTTTTTTTGCCCATAGATACATCTGTATTAAATCTAATTAAAAGCTGTGGCCATCATAATTTATTTTCTAGGCATACGTAGCTAACTGCTGCACTGGTTTAGTTTGGCATTTTCCTGATCCTTACTTATGGTGCCTCATATAATGGACTCTGGTATTCGATATTTCAGTATGAAAAAAATAACTGTTTACAAGGAGCATAGTAGAGTACATGAACAGAGCCAGATAAGGAATGTAACTGAGGAAACAATTCACGTTCTCTGTTTATAGATAATGTGAATTGTTTCATCAAATTTGACTATACAGGTTGTTATTGAATTTCTGTTTAGAACAGATTCTCAGAGACAACATTTGTGTGTTAAAGGTGGGCTATGAAGCCATATCACTGATTTCTTTCACCTCTATATAGCCCTCATTGATCCTCCAAATTGTGGGGAATGCTGGATCTCCAAAGTTAGTGTTTTATGTTAGCTATTAGTAACCTGTTAGATCTGGCAGTTTTTAGACATTGTTTCTTGAAAAGTCTCTAAAGCTTGACTACCAGTTCTTACATAAGAAAATTATTTCTATGTTATGACCAGGGAAAAAAGGTTGTTTTTCCTTTTTCTCTTCTAGTGTTGTAATCCTGATGATGTGAAATTATGCTTAAAGACTGAATTTTGAAAGTAGTTAAAAAGAACTAAACCCACAATTATTATGAAAATTCAATAGGATATAAGTGACTAATTAATTTAAACTCTCTACCCAGATCTTGGTCCCAGTTCATTATAGCTCTGGTTTTAATTTAGCTAATGTGGGCTGGATTATGAAAGAATTTGAATGTGGGCATTGGCTTCAGAGTAGCCTCTGCATTTCTAATGTTTAAGCCTAGTTTAAGCCTCTGAGTTGAAGCCTCTTATTTTCTTAAGAGTCAGAGCTCATTGATACTATGCTCACCTTTAAATAAAACCTAATTTGAGAGTAATCATCAGGTTCAGGGCATTTCCTAGTGTAGGAAAATAACTACATAAGAGTGACCTGACCCCATATATTTATAGATATCATTATTTACTGTGAGAGTGTCAGGTTGGAGACTGAGGGTTTTAATGGAAGGGTGTGAAGTTCCTGAGGCAGAGTACAAACCTGCTTAATGTAGGACTGGTTATGCATGTGAAGAACTACGGCTCTTATCCCAAGAATAGTTTACATCAAACAGTGAAAGGTCTTGTGAATTCAGACACTAGATTCAATGGCAATTCTGTGGGTATTGGTTGGATGGCTGTTACAAGCTAATGTACCTGTACTCTTTTATTATTCTTTTACTTGGTTCTCATCCAGTACCAGTAAAAAAGTGTATTCTTTGCATGAGAGAGAACAGACTGAAAATAATGACATTCTCTTACTTACTATTCTCTCATCTTCTTGTGGAGAAAGAAGAATTTAACAAGATTTACTGGTAAAGTTCAATGGACAAGCTCAGTTACCAGAAGAGAATAATTAAGCTAAATTTGAGGTCTGTCTTCTGCTTTTTACTAGAAAGTTTTTCATGTCCCTTTTCATTTGCTGTGTTGGAAGGAGAAACACCATTCTGAGTCAACCAACTTTTGCAAATAGTCCATAAATACACCCCTGTACCTAGTACGTAAAGAACATTGAATAGGAAACCACTTGTATAGGGTCTGATTTTGAGACATTAAAAAATGGAAAATTAAAGTTACATAAAGGATCCCTTGCTTCGATAAATACTAGTGTACTTGTGTAGGACTAATATATTGAACAGTTTTGAGATGTTCATCTGCAAAAACACAACAGTGTAGATAAGACCATACAGAGTAAATTGTTGTTTCATGCCAGGCAATCTGAGGTATATGTGTGTTTTTTATAAAAAGTGTTTGTGAATTATTTGTGTTTGCGATTGAATATTTGCATTATTTTATCAGGACCCTTTTCCAGAATTCTTCAGGCCAGAAGAATGATGTCTTTCACTTGAACATTAAAAATGTAGGTGGCATAGGCCAGATTTTGGACTTCATGTACACCTCTCACCTGGACCTTAGCCAGGACAACGTACAAGCTATGTTGGATATTGCACAGTGTCTCCAAGTGCAGAATGTACTGAACATTTGCCACGCCTTTTTAAAATCATCTACAGCTTTAGAGCAGACAGCTAGCATGCCTTGTAATAGTGTATTTTCACTGCAGAATACTTTGACTGCAGATACTAGCTGTGCCAGTGACAGTTATGGAACAAACCTATTACATGAATGCTCATCTGACACACAAGCTAACAAAGTCTTGACTGACCACCGTTCACAAACATCACAGTCTGTTAATCTTCACGCACCCTCAGGTGACGGACAGAAACAACCACAAGACTCCTTAGATGGCAACTGCACAGAGCTTCCATTTAAACAACCAAATTACTATTATAAACTACGTGACTTTTACAGTAAACAGTTCTATAAGCAAAATGCTTCCTCTAATCATGAGAGAGGAGCAGAACAACCCTTTTCTTACAACCCATCTACAGAAATAAACACAGTAGAGAATAGTTCTTGTACTGTCAACCACTCTGAGTGTATTCTGGAGACCTCAGATCATTTACCATCAAACTTTCTGGCTCAGTCCTTGAATGAAGCTGTTCCAGAGCAAGCTGCAGAAAGCACACTTGTGCAGCCCACCAAACAGATGCAGTTGAAAAAGGCAATACACCTCAAAAAGTTAAATTTTCTAAGGTCTCAGAAATCTGCAGAGCAGCCGCCTGAGCCTAAAAGAGATGACAGTAGAGTAACAGGAGTAATTGAATCTGTAAATGAAAGTACCATGGACATGACGAGTATAAGAGTTACTGGTGAAAAAGAAGCTGAAGATTTAGTAAGTTCTGAGAATTTTGACCAAACTGTTGAAGCTGAAAGATCTCAAGGTCATTTGGAACAAGAAGGACAATCACAGACTCTTCAGTCACAAAGGCAATATACTTGTGAATTATGTGGGAAGTCTTTCAAACACCCAAGCAATTTGGAGCTCCATAAAAGGTCTCATACAGGTACAGTTATCAATAACTTGGTCTGCAGAGCAAATATTTCAGTTAAAGAGGTTGTCTTGCAGTATCTGTTGATTCAGAGATGCTGGTGAAGGGTTAACTTTCAAAATGGGAGTCTTTTAAAAAAATGATTAATCATATAGGAATAAAGTCTGAAAGAGCTCTCCTTCATACTTCTTTTTAGTGTTCTTTTTCAAAGTATGTTGTGTGATATTTCAACAAAAACTTTATTTTTGTCTTGCAATTAGAAGAGGCATTTCTAATCAGTTTGTCAGATGGCCCAGAAGTTTGAGTCACATAACAATGATAAGTGGATAGGAGATAATACAAGAAGTGTTCTAGATGACCTCTCTAATCATATATTTGCTGTAAGATACAAGTGATTAGGGCTTGATGGTCATTTCTTTTAGCCTGTAGAAATAAGCTCTGTAATAATTTTATACTTTTTTCCTAGTATGAATAACTTTCATTGTATTTACCCAGGACATAATGCTCTTACGGATAAGTAGGCTGCAGAGTGAATGGGAATTTTGAATTAATTTACTTTGTCTTAAAAATTCACAGGTAGTGTTATTTTTTAAACCTAGCATAGATTTATTTTTAAGGATCTTTTTATTTTAGTGAAAAGACTTAGTTTAACGTGGAAGTAACTAATTTGTCTGCTCTGTGCATTCTATTTCTACAACTTTAGATATGCGTTTTAGATGTTTAAGAATCACCTTAGCTTGTGACACTGTTGATTCCAAGTCCTTGAGATAGCTGATTAATTTGTTGAATGTTTTTTGCCTTTCTTTTTCCTTGTATTAAATATGCAAACACATCCCTCTGTCTTATCAAGTATCCCTTTGCATTGGTACTTTAAAAGTAAGTATGAGTCCCTCTTGGCAGACACTATTTTCTTTGATTAATCAATCCTTAGTATTAAGAATTTATTTTTCCATTTTATTAGGAGAAAAATCTCTCCAGAACCTGAAAATAGGAACATTTTGCATTAGTTCCCTGAAGTTTTCACTTGGTGCCTTTGACTGCTTCTGTATGTTCACATTGCTAATACTATTTTATTATTTTTAATTTGATCTGCTGTGAAAGAGTTGCATGTGTCTTACCTAGATCCTCTCTTTGCCTTGTATTTTTTTAATCTTTTATCAGATTTGAGCTGACATAAGGTATATTTTAATATCTTAAAAATGTCAGGAAAATAGGTGATCAGGTAGAAGATCGAGCATCTAGAGAAGTCCCACCTGAGGGAGAGGCTCTGAAGTCAGTAACAAGTAAGTTTGTGCTAGAGAATCTATGTGAAAGAGAGACCCCAACTGTGAGAAACCTGTTAGAATTTTCCCTTCCTTAGACATCTAAATCACTGGAAGAAATCTGTGTTTTGTGAGTTCTGCCCATTAAACTACTTGGGTTTTTAAGAGTGTGCTGCTTGAGTGATAGACTTTATTATTGTATGGTTTTGAATCTGTTAAACCATTTAAAACGTGAGGTTCAGAGTGTAGTTTACCTTTTTTAATGTATTTTAAGGGTCAGGGGAGCACTGGGTTATAGAAGAGACTATAGCCTAGACTATAGGCTATACAAGTGGTTTACAAATTACTTTTTTTTTTACTTTGACACAGCATGGCCAGCAAATGCTTACGAGAGTAGATAGTGGAAAAAGAGGAAAAGGGTTGCAGTAGCTGTGCAAGGTTATTTATGTGTGTTGCAATTAATTTCTTTATTCTTATTTGAGGTCTGTATGCTTACACATGCTTCCACTCTACTTAAGCTCTAGATGTTGTTTCACATTCGACAATGCTGCCAGATACGAACTAGCTTTATACATTGTGTAAAATAATGTGATCCTAGAGTTGTTGTGGTGGTCCTTCTCTACTAGTCTGAGTAAACACTGGATTCAGGAATTCCTTGCTGCTTTTCATATATTGTGTCCTTCCAATAGTGTTCAAAAAATTCCAGATTGAATGCTACTTAATGTGCCATTAATGATGTTCTAACAACTTCTCAGTGTTAAACTGACAAAGTTTAAGAGCGTAAGTTTAACGAATAATGAGCTCATAAAAAATGGATGGAAAGTTGATGCAGGAATATGACTAGATAGGCCTGTTTGCTTGCCTGTTATTTTGGGGTCATGTTAATTTTTTTTCAATATCCAACTAGTGCAAAGAGAGTATTTGGAAAATTGCAATGGATAGTAAGTAGGATGTTAATAAAGGAAGGATCTGTAGCTGAAGGTATATGGCACATCTGTATCATTAGTATTAAGTATACTGGTAATTAAGTAATGTAAGTGTATGCTAAAAGACATTTCCATTCATTTGCCCCTTCAGAAAGCATAGCAAATTGCTGGCTAATCAATTTGATTTTAAAACATTAATTTTCTAGGACTAAGCAAGAGTTAGCAAGTATTTAAGTATTACAGTGCTTACTGAAAGTCCTCCAAATCTGGCTTTGCCAGAGAGGTAAGGGAAGCAAGTTACTAGAATGAACCTTTCACAGTGGTAAGCCAGTTTTTAGCCTAGAAATGACAAGTCTTTCAGCACAAGTGCTGTGGTGGCCTGCTTGTGAAGAAAAAGCACATGTGAAATTCTCTGCATACTAGGAGCCACTAAAGAATTTACAGGCTATCATGGTTACATTGGTGAGTTTCTAAGTGAAGGACAGGCATATTGTGTTCAATACAAGTCATTGTATTGGGTTATCTAGCTGTCCTAATTGTATTGCTAGTGGATAGTTAAGGGAATCTCTAAACAGAGTTTATTGCGTTGACTTTAAGATTGATTTTGACTTGACTGTTATAGTTTGTCTTTTATTAGATTGACCTGTCTGAAAAAAGGAAGCAAGCATATGTCTTATACAGTCCTTACCTGTCAGAAACATACAGGGTTTTGTGGGGTTTCAGTTGGGTTTTTTTTTTTGCCTGTGTTGTTGGGTTTTTTTCCCTCTCTCTTTCTCTGTTTTGTTTGGATTTGGGTTTTGTTTGTTTGTTTGTTTGTTTGGTGGGTTTTTTAAAAAAAAGTTTCAGGAAATATCCTCTCAAAAAAAAAAAAAATCCAAACCCTAACCCTGTGGAAAGAACTTTTTTATTCTGAGCTTTACTTGAGCAAGTTGACAGCATTCCATGCCTTAGAGGGTTCTGCTCCTCACCATTGTGAACTTTTCAGGAACACTGCTTCTGCCTTCATACCTTTCTCCTCTGGAGTTGACACACTTGCTTTGATCCTGTGACTATGTACTTGATCTCTTCTTGTGGAGTTTCAGCAAGAAGGATGCAACAGAAGATAAAAAACACAAACAGTCCAAGGGTTCAAAAGTCAAGTCCCCTGTATGTTTGTTTAAGCATTGTCTTAATTGTAGTTCAGTTACTACTTTTCCCCAAATTTTCTCTATTGCTGTTGATCCAGCCATGGTCTTTGAGAAGATTAGTTGGTTTGTAATTTAATGCTGGTCATAGAATCATAGAATAATTTGGATTAGAATGGATCTCTGGAGGTCACTCTCTGCTCAAGGAAGGTCAAATTAGATTGGGTTGTTTTGCTCATGACCTTGTGTAGTGTAGTCAAATTTTGGATATCTCTAGGAACAGAGAGGTTCCACAACCACTGCAGCAACCAGTTCCAGTGTTGGACCACCCTCAGGGGTAAAAAGTTCTTTTCCTATACATAATTGCAGTTTTTCATCATCTAAGTTGTGTCTGTTGCCTCTTGTCTTATCACCATGTACCTTCAAGAACAACCTGGTTACGTGTGTCTTCCCATTGCATGTGGAGACCAGTAAGATTTCCTATTGGCCTTCTCATCTTAAGGCTCCAGATACAGTCTCACCAGTGATGGGGGGAGAAGAATTCAGCTCACTAGCTGCGCTGTTACAAATATGCCATAGGAAGCCACACTTTACCTGAAGGACGCTACACCACTAGGAGCAATTTAGTATTTTTTTTGCTATAATTCATTCTTGGAGTAGGCTACTTGATATGTCTGATGGTTTGGCATTTTATACAGGTGCAGAATTGAGGTTGCACACAGCCTACACACTAGTTTTGAGAAATTAGAGCTTCCCATTCCTTCCTTCCTTCTCTAGTTATTTCAGAGTGGGTTTCTGTTCCCATACTAGTCTTTGTGTCAACAGGAACTTGGGTGTGGGGTTTTTTTGTGTAGGTAATTTCTGCAGAAATTGCTACTTGTGTGTTTTGTCCTCCATTTCAAATTACCTTGATGCTTTTACACTTGTCAGAAGCCTTTCCAGTTGCCACAGATCTTGCTCCCTGTTGATTTCATTTATGTTTGTCAGTACCAGAATTTTTAGTGGTTTGCAAATTTAGAGCCGTAATGAAATCAAGCCTCAGTGCTCTTTATAGTTGAATTATTGGTTTCTTAGATTTTTTTCTTTAATTGAATAAAAGTTTTCTCAGAACTTGCTGTAAGATTTCCATTCTTCATCAAGTAGAAAAAGTAGATGCAGCCTCAGGTTGTCAGACTAACTGCATGATTGCTATCTGTGAAGCCATGTAACTGTGTATGTTTACTCTGTGTTTTAAAATCTGAGAGTTGCATTTAATCCTTGATCCTGAAATATGTTGAAAGAACATGACCTGTGTTTGGCAGCAGGGAAGGAAAATACCTGGATATTGCATGTATTGCTCCTAACACTTCCAAGGATGAAGAAAATTGATGTACAGACTACTTGCTGGAAGAGTTGGCTGCAAATGCCAGGAGGTGTTCTGTAAAATCAGGAAAACTATAATTTAAAGAGTAGACAGTTTTTTGATTCAGCACCAAGATAAAACACAGTGTAAGATCTCTTTCTTTTTCTTTCTGGGAATACCTGCACTCAAAATCACAAGGGTTTACACTAGTTTTGCTTCCCTGTACCTGTGGGCCATATTGTATCTATCATTTTAACATAGTTAGACTCATGGAAAATATCTTTAGAAGTCTCTGTTATTGAGTTCAATGGTATTTGAGGAGTTACTGTTTTAAAAATTCTAGAAGATGCGTAGAGATTTTTATCAACATGTGTAAAGACCTGGGAACCAAGAACTAACAGGGAAAAAACCTTACCTTTATGAAATACTGAAGAGGAAAAAAAGTGATTAAAAAAAGATACTTGTCTTAAACTGATAGCTGACAGACAGCTGAAGTATTGTGTAGTCATGTTCTGGATTGAGAATAGAGTTATTTTCAAAAGCTAAAGTGGGCAGTGCTAATTTTTTATTAAAGCTGCTCGTGCGGTTTTGGAGTGTCAAGGCTACTAGTATAAATTCAAAATTATAGAGCAAAATACTTGGGTTAATTATTAGATACTCTTATATAGGATGAGAATTTGAAGGCAAATATATACTTGCTGGGAGGAATGGCTACATGCTATCAGACATGTATGGTACACATTGAACAGAGGAAATGGAATCCTTCCAAATTAGTATTTCTGCATTCCTCTTTCTTTTTAAGAGTGAGCCTTTGTGTAGACAAGTGGGAAAACTGGTGCGCTTCCCATAGCTTTTGTTGTTGTTGCAGGACCTCGTCACCTATTCTGTTCTTCCAGGATGTTGGGTACCCCTTGCATTTGGGGGAAAAAGTAAAAAGAATACAAAACATTTTCATTCATATCAAAACTCCTCTACCTAGTTGTTTTGAAAGATAAATTCTGTTTCTGAGCAAATCTGCCTCACAAGCTTAATAGTAAATACTTTCCCTTGTACTTCTTCCCTTGAATTTCCCTTAATATACTGTACTTCCCCTTGAATTTCCCCTTAAATATATGGTAAGTGTTCCTTGGGGGATATTTTTGCTCTTACATTACATGTTGTAAAAGGAAGTCAATTTAGAACATTTCTATTCTATTGCAACTATTAGAAGTTCTATGTTCTGTTTCTTCTCCTTTTAGGTGAGAAACCTTTTGAATGTAACATTTGTGGGAAACACTTCTCACAGGTGGGAATATTTTATATTATGGTATTTACACTTGAAAATAAAATGCATCTGTGTGTTGATTCTCAAACACTTGGGTTTATGCTTATAGGTATTTTTTCTTCAAAAATGGACTTCACTTTAGGGATAAAATATTAAAGTGTCTTATTTGAAAATAACATGTTAAATGTTTTAGATTTTTTTTTGTTACATTTTGTACCTTTGATTCTGTCTGCTCTCAGTAGATGTTATGTATTTTACCTTCAAATGAATATTTAACTATAAAGAGACACAACTATTTTTAAAATGCAGAGAGCAGTCTTAGATTGTTCTTTTGCCTTATGCTTAGGGATACGTTTTTAATAACATTTTTGCAGTGTCTGAAAAAAATACAAGTTAGAATTTTGTATAATGTTGTATTCACAAGAGTTTCCTCTTCCTAAATGGTGTGAATTATTAAGCAGATTTTTTTTTTTTAGTCAAATTTATATCCATATAAATCCATATAATTTAGTTGCTTCTGTGAAGAACAGCAGCCTGTCTGAAGTGACAAAATTCAGCTAGGATTTACAAAAAAGTCTTGTGAAGTTCCCTACTTGCACACAGGGCCCAAACTTTATCTGTGTCTTAATTTGCCCTTCAGTGCTTACTTCTTGTTCTGGTTACAACAGCGATCTTGTATTTCTACAGATTTGGTGCCTAGTTGTCTTATGTTTCCAAGATGTCTATTTCTTTTCTGTTTTCTTGGCTGGGTATGTGTACCTAAGTACAGGCGACAATAGATGCATATTTTTATAATGAGATTAAATAATAATTACCATTGAATAACTTTGGTCTTTCTTGATGGTCCTGGTTTAAGAATTAGAATTATGTGGTCTTTGTCTGCCCACACACCAGTGTTTGCACTTCTCTTGCTCCAGTTTTGTAGTCCACCACTGGGACAACTTTGACCCATGATCTGGTGGAGTTGCATCCTCCACTCTGTTACTGAATATGAACGTAACATTGTGTCCAGTGAACAGTACTGTTTCACCATACTTATAAAGTCATTTTGAGCAAAACTGGATCTGCTTATTTGGCAAAGAAAGTGCGTTTTCATTCATTTTGATGGCTGACCTTCTAGTTATTAAAAGAAATAAGTGAGTATTTCTGAATTCCATTAAAAGTACTTCTGGTGAATGGAGTGGTGTTCTGTATCATTTCTGTGGGTAAAGGGAATAAAAAAAGCGTGGCATACTCATGCAATATGCATTGCTCCTCTTCAATTAAAAACAAACCCCAGTAAAACTGGAAATTTCTGCCTTTTAATTAAACACTCTTAAACAGTTTCCCTCCCCTTCCCATTACCTCACTTGCCCAAAGATATAGGTAGATAATACCAACGGACAGTACCTACGGCTCCAGAATATGACCTACAGCATTCAGCTTATGTGCTGCAGTTCTTTCTCTGGTCATAAAAAAGAACTTGAATGCTTCTAATGTACATGTGTTTGAATCATGCAAGTAAGATGCAAGGATATTTACTGTCTATTTTTTATTTAAAAGACCATCTCTGATCTTGTTCTTGATCTTCTCAGCTTGCAGGCAAAGAAATAGTAATACTTTTCTTATTTGAGCCTTCGTGTTCTGTGCTTTGAGACAGTGCAGTTGTGCCTGATGGTATGTCTGTTCCTGCTGAATGTAACTGATGTTCTGTGTGTTGGAATGTGAAACAGAAAATGAAAAAAGTAGGGAAAATTGACATAGGAACTCATAGCCTGGAACAAATAACCATAAATGTCTTTGACTTTTGGACAAAAAAGTTCCTTTTGTATTTCCAAGCTAGCATCTTCCATTACAGCTGCAGAGCCGTTGCTATGTGGTGCTTCTCTGGCTGGTGATCCAGGATATCATGGGCAACTACATGCATTAGTTCCTTCAGTTTAAAAGCATGCCAGTTACAAATGGACCAAGCCTAGCATTTCTCTCTAGTCTCCAAATCTGTGAGCAGTGGTATACTGCAAGTATTAGTAAAAGGATTTTTCCGAGCACTTGTTAATGTCCTCATCGTGAGGAAGTGACAGTATTGTAAGAAAGAAATGGATCTACTTGCTACTCTGTAAAATGTTTTTATTCTGGCTAAAAATCCCTGTTGAGAACTATTTCAGAATAATTGTTGCACTTCAAATTCACCCTGTCTTTATCCAGAATAACTTTCAAATGCCTGTGATATGGTTTGTTTTGTGACGTGGATAAAGGTAAAGGTTCTGTCTTTCTTATGTTTCTCTCAAATGCACCTCTGCGTAAAATCCCTTGTCTTTGCAAAGCACAAATTGTTCTGTGGTTAGTATTTTCCTTCCTCAGAAACAGGTGTCTGATGCCTCTCTTTAACTGAGGTTCAGTATTACGAAGTTTGGCCTGAGAGAGCAACGGTTCAGTCGTACCGTTGTCTGAAAAACATTACAGGGGTTAAAGAAAGCTCTCTCAGGGTTCAAACGGTGATCCCTTTAGTATTGTTCTCTGTGTCTGTGTCTGCAGTGCCCTAGTTCTGGTATATTATGAACTCTGATGACAGTAATTGTTGCAGGACTGGGAGAGGAAAGATACATAATAAAAATTAGTTCTTAGTAATCCCATTTTTTCATTTCAGTACTTCCTGTTCTGTTTTCTTTTGGTATGAGTAAATATTTGTAGGTTTGGAACCCTTGGCTTGGAGTATTTTGCGGATTGAAAAATGTTTACCCTGTTCTTTTCTTTTTAACCTCCCAGTAGGTGAATTCAGAGGCCCTAATAACATTTTATTTGTATGACAGGGAAAGTAAGACTAACATGAGCTACGTTAGTAGGAAGTTTTCACTGCAATCTATGTAGTGTAATTTTCATTTATAATTGGATCTGGTTTCAACTACAGGGCTTTTATTTTCCTTAGCATTTGATTCCAGGCTTTTCTTCTTATATTCTGTTCTTGTCAGTGTATAATTGCATACATAACCAATTTGATCTTGAAATGTATGGTAGTCTTTCTTTACTAGATAAGAATGCTTGAGTTCATACATGGTTTGTATCGTCACTGCCTTAGAATTAGAAATAAAAAGGCAGTCTCATAGTTTCCATCATCTTTTTGTCTGTATACAACACCAGGCTAGCTGAATTTAAATGTTTAAATTACTGTCCCTTCAGGCAGGTAATCTCCAGACACATTTGCGTCGACATTCTGGTGAAAAGCCATACATTTGTGAAATCTGTGGGAAAAGGTGAGTAGAACTGTGCATCTTAGTAAAGTTAACATGGTAAAACTAGGGGCCAAGAGCTGAAGTAGCACACTGTTCAATTTTGGTTTAAAGACTTTAACTTTAAATGAGAACTGATGGGATTAAAATACATAAATGTCTCCAAGTGTCTTGTTGCAAGTCTCAATAATAAGTAAACATGTCACCACATATATAGCCTGTGGTCTTTACTGAATTTCTTGTATATTGGTGTCTTTAGTTAAGGGAATATTGTGTGTATTTTGAATAGTGTGAGTGACAATCATGTGGGTTTGTACCTTTCTGTTATTTGGTCATAGAATTTTTGTTACATTTCATGGAAATTATGAAGTATGGAAAACTTGATAAATTTAAGCAAAGCATTAAATGTTTCTGTCTTTGGCTTACAGGGGATAGAAAATATACTAATGTAGGAGTAGCATTAAATGCAGAATAAATTAATAAAATTAATAGTGAAAAGGGTTATTTGGTTGGTTGTTTTTTTCCCTAGCATAAATTTAATTGGACATTACCAGATTAAAGTTTTTTTTCTTAAATGCATCCTTTTATCTGTGGATCTTAATCTTTGTTCATAACATCAGGCATTCATTATAGTTGTTTTCCACAAGATAATCGCTATAGGAGAATAAGGGTCTCACAAAGACTGTAATTGGGTTTCCATATTCTGTTACAGATTTGCTGCTTCTGGTGATGTCCAGCGTCATATTATTATTCATTCTGGAGAAAAGCCTCATCTGTGTGATATCTGTGGCAGAGGTATGTAAGAACCAAGGTTTCTGCCTCTGAGGATTTTTGTTTGAAATGTGAGGAGTCATTTTAATCTTCAGTTTCTGTTGTATTTTTGTAGGATTCAGTAACTTCAGTAATTTAAAGGAGCACAAAAAGACTCATACAGCAGATAAAGTGTTCACCTGTGATGAATGTGGGAAGTCATTCAACATGCAACGAAAATTAGTAAAGCACAGAATTAGGCATACTGGAGAGAGACCATACAGCTGTTCAGCATGTGGTAAGATTTAATGTGCATGGCTTGGTTGTGTCTGCTTTTTAAATAAGTAAAAGTTTCTATGTCAGCAGAATAGCAATTAACCAAAATGGTTTTAAATTGAAATACCATGTTGTGAAAGCTTGTCAGAAAATCTGTCTTGAATGCTTCATAGTCTTTCATTTGGTGTATTAAACTCCTTTAGCTGTTGTAAATAAATTCAAAAGTGAATTTCTGTTGAAGAATACAGAAAGGAAGTAAGAAGAATCAACACTGTACATGTACTTGCTGCTGCAAAAATGATTTGTTTTCAGTATAGTCCTTTCTGATGGAAATTCAAGTTTGGCATCACTGGTTTTTTGGTGCTGATTTTTTTTTTTTTTTTTTTCTTCTTTTTGCCCCCAGTTGATCTAACTGCATTCAACCATAGAGTTTGATAATAACCTTTTGCTTCAACATCTGGAATAAAATCAAAACTTGACCAATGCTTCGTACCAAAGAACGTCCATGTTCAAAACTTGCTAGATACATCATACTTCCAGGTGGTTTGAAAATGCCTCTTTGATCATTGATTCATCCTTGTATAACAGCTCTCAGAAGTTGTGTTGTCTGTGCTTACCTCATACCTTACTGAGCATCCTACTTGCTTTTCTGCCCTTAAGCTGTTTTGGTATAATTTCATTTATGTTCTGAGGAATCTGCTTTGGCAGAGGGTAGCTCCTTCAGATAATGTCCAGTTGCAATATGTTTTATTTGTAATGTCTTGAGGCACAACAAAAGCTAATATTACGGGAAGGTCTTGCAGAAGGAGGAAATAGAGACATGCAGGGTATAAAAGTATAAACAAACAGTTGTGTTGCTGCCATTAAAATAGGCCTTTTTTGATCTTGTTTTACAGTGCTCTTTGATTATTTTTTCATTTCAGCCAGGTCATCTTGCACTGAGAAGGCAAAAATTGTACAAAAAGGATCTGATCAAGCATTAAGAATTTTGCATTCACATTATGCAGAAAACCCACATGCATCATTCCAGTAATTTGTAATCTCACTGTTACTGTTTAATGGCTTTTCTGAAGAGAAATCTTGGGAGTAGAATAAAAAGTATGATTCTGAAAATTGAGATTGCCATTTTACCGAGCTTTCAGATAATGCAAGTTCATTTTAGTTGGTACCTGTTCACACAAAATAAAATAACCTTTAGCCTAGGTAAAATGAGCTAAAACCACAAATAGGAATCATCTTATTTCCACTGTCCTAAAGAATGTGAGGTAGCAATTCTGGAAATTAATGCTCTCTGGTTCTGCTTGTTCTACACTTTGCCTTGCTTCAGCCTCAGTTTTCTCTGCAGTGTGGTAATAGAATATATTTAGAAGCTTATCAAGGATACTGGTTTTCCAGACAGACAAATTAAATTGCTTATTTTTATTTTTTCCTCCACGAAGATTGATACAAACTGAGGGCACTCACAGCTTTTAGATACTAATGGATTTTCCCATCTCTGGAGACTAAAACTAAAGCACTGGTAAACACAAGTTAGAAAATCAGATCAAGAAGAAACAGGTTATTGTAAAAATAGACAGAACTTGTTTGAACCAGCTGTAGATAAACAAAGTGCCGTGACTGGGACATGCCATCAAGTGATATCTTCACTAATTAAAACATGCTTATGCACTGGTGCTAAGAACAAAATCTTAATCTGTCACTTTTGTCTTGTAGGGAAATGTTTTGCAGGCTCAGGTGACCTGCGTAGGCACGTGAGGACTCACACAGGAGAAAAACCCTATACCTGTGAAACCTGTAATAAGTGCTTCACCCGTTCTGCTGTTCTGCGGCGGCACAAGCAAATGCATTGTAAAGCCACTGATGAGGGTTCAAACGCACTAGATGAATTTACTCAAGGAATTGAAACATCTGACCTTGACAAGTCTCAGAGTTCTGACTCTTTTGGCCAAGAAATGTCTGTTACCTTGTTACCAGTGTCTGTTAAATTCCCCATTCGTCCAGCTGAATTTGATAGTTCTGTGGATTCTTACTGTAAGCTGCGATCAATGATTCAACACCATGACTCCGCAAACCAGCAGAAACTGAATGTGGATTCTGCTAAACTCCCAAAGGCTCAGCCCCAGCAAACTCCGCCACCACCATATAGTTACACAGGTGTAGATATATCTTCTGCAGAAGAACCCTTACAGTCTGATAATATTCCAATGATTCGTTCCTCTATGGTTAGCTTGGACAGTCATTGTAGTGACCCACTAGGCAGTCGAACACTGTCTGCTGTGTACAAGAATAATGAAGGACCATTCTTTTCTAGCATGACCCTCTGGGGTTTAGCTATGAAGACTTTGCAGAATGAAAGTGAACTGGAACAATGAGGGCTCAGGTGACTGCATCAAAATTTCTTAGAGGCATTTCATGCTAAAATGATTGCAATCGCACTGCAGCAGTGAGAGGCCAGAGCTAGTTTTTAAGCCAGCTGGCTTGGATACTGGTAGAAATCATACACATGCCCAAAACCCAGCGTTGGCTGCCTTGACGCTGCTTCTCAGCGCAGCTTGGGGAACTTTTGTTCTGTCACTGCACTGTGTAGCGCATGTGTTGCTATGATTTACTAAAATTAGCTCTTTGATTAAATTTACCATTTGACTTGGTATTTTTCACCTGATAATGGAGGAAAGGATAGCCCAATGCCTGATTTCATGATACGGGTGCAATTGCAAGCATGGTCATCAGAGTTGTGTAAGGGTGTATATATGAAAAGAAGAAAGTACTTAACACATCCCTAGTGAACCTGAGTTTCGGTAGTAGCTTTCTGACCGGTAGGATCATTGGTTTACATGACTTGAGTATTGTGATATTAAATGTAAATGTTAAATCCCTGGCAATATTTGTGATAGTGCAAAGTAACTGTATATCTAGAAAACTTTATTTTTTTACAATAAAAGCTTTTTTTTAGTATTTTATAAACTATTTTGCACAGCAGATTATTTGTACAAGGATCATCTGACCAAGATCAGGAAATGCGAATAAAGGGAAGTTGTTTTACATTGTATATTAACTGCTCTCTGTGTTTCATCTTTTTATGGAAGATTTTCAGTAACATAATTCCATCCATTCCAGGTATCTTTACAGTGCTAATGGGGATACCACTGCAAGAAGAGTTGCACTATAAGTTCAGTCAATACACCAGTATATTTCATTTCAATGAACTGGTGTAAAGCAATGGCTAATTAATGGAATGAATAGACTGCTACACGATAAGAAAGGCCTACAGGCCTTTTTCTGCTTCAGTGCTTTGAATGGTTGCATTTCATTTTAGTATAGATCTGTTGCTGCTTTTCAAACTGCTTGCCACAGTCACTTGGGTTTTACTGGCATAACTTTTTTTCCATCCATCCACAAGTTTTAATGTGTTGTCAAGCCTTATGCTAAATCATTCCTTACATACTGTAGTTTCTGACACGAAAATATCCTTGTACTAACCTTTTTTTCTGAACTTCATTCACAGACTGGAAAGTCTGAAGTACATACTGCTTACTTCCAGTAAGGAGAATGTAGGCTGAGAAGTAGATTTCAGTGTTTTACATCAGCTAACAAGATCTGGTATCACCACTGGTTAATAACACTGCAGTTCCTCTGCTGAAAAATCACGTTTCTGTAAATCTAATAGCTGTAACTGTCTGTTAATTAACATGTGATGTCACATTGTCCTGGTATTAGAAAATATATTGGCACTTCTATCTACAGCGCAAACATTCAAATCTATTATGGTTGTCTGGCTGTTGGTAGAACAGACCATGGGTGACCTACAGTCCACTGCTTGCATTCTGTGGAATTTCAGAGCCTGGAAAACACAGTGTTTTCATATTTGTAGAGTGCTCATCACTTCTTTTCCCCTGCCTGGAATTCAAGACTAGCTGTTCAGTTTCTTACTGTGTTAACACCATGCATTGCAATTCTGGCTTCCCTCCCTTCCTTTATTTGGCCCCTTACCTCCCTGTTTCTAATTGCTTTCACCCTGAGTTGAAATGAGAAAAACAGTATGGTTGGCCAGACCATAGCACCCCTTAAAACAAAAGGGGCAGAACATTACACTGCGTACCTAAGTCTTGAAAGATACAGATTTCTCAGTCATCATTTAATGTTATGAGAAACTTTTTCATTACATTAACAGACCAGTTAAAAGAAAACCCCAGATGCACTGGAGAGCAAATGGGGAATTTTTTTCCATTTTTCTTTTCTTGTAGTGCACATATATTGGGAAACTCAAACATCTGCATTTTTCCAGCCAGTGAAGTCAAAGAAGCTTTTGCAGTGCTTAATTTTACAAACAGCATGTAAGACAGCAGAACACAGCCCTATTTAGGCTTAAGCAGGGAACACTTTGTATATTTGAATCCCTAGGTCTTCCCTCATTCATTTGGTGAACGCTGCAGACCTTTGTGGAAATCATCCACATGATATTCAGCAAGCCATGTATTATGGTTCCGGCCCTGACCGTGTGTGCTCATGCTCTCCTCTGCTCCGCTTTCCTTGTACTAGTGCCTAAGGCAGAATGTGAGTATCTGCCAGTCACTAGCTCTGCAGCTTTCCTCTTGTCAGAAACTAGTTTTACATTTACTTATCCCAATAGAAAAGAGAAATTTGATGCTGTTCCCACAAGGATTCTGTTGCTTGGAGAGGACAAATCTGCAGTTTGTGAAACTCCTAACTTTGGAGTTGCCTCTGGTTCTGCAATGGTTTTGCTTTCTCTGTTGTGTTTTGGTGGAGGCAGTACAGGATAGGTTTAAAACAGACCATGTTGCAAGCTTTGTGCTTGTCTGTTAATGAGAATACTGGAGGTCTGTACACTTTGGAGGAATGTGTTATTGCTGAAGACTGTCTTAAGGTGAAAATAGCATCTTGAGATGCTATTAGATTAGATTGCTCAGTATCAAGTGCTTTGTGCCAAGGGGACAGCCATGTTGCGCTAAGGATAACTTCTCTTGCTTGGCAGTATTTTTTTCTGTGAGATGGTTTCACACCAAAACCATGAAGGCTCTCAATTGTGCTGCCAGATTGTGACTATTGTTTGCAGTTTTGGAGGGTTTGATACAACACCGTGTTGCAAGGTGCCATCTTTGAGAAGGAAGCAGAGAAAACACCGGTAGGAGAAAGCAGTCCCATCTGAGTTTGTGCAGCTGGAACCAGAAAAAGCAGGAGTTGCAGCACTGAGCAGGAGCGCTAAGAAACTGTTATTTCAGGCTGGCTTGAAGGAAAAGCTGAGCAAGAGAGAGAATTCAAAAGGTGGGTAGATAGATGGAGTCAGATGGGAGAGAATGAATTTTTATGTATGGAGTAAGATGTTTTGGATTAAGAAGCCCCATCCCTGCAGCCACTTTGCAATGAGAATATCACTGCCTGGCTGCAAGAAAATACTTTTCTGCCTTTGAATTTCCAAATCAAATGTAATATGTCAATTTAGTATTGTCTGAGCTCTTCTTAGAGACCTCTGTAGAAAATTTCCCTGAACGGATCTTTTTCTGCATCCTGATAATTTCCATAGGTCCATAATGAAGAAGATGTTTGGGAATAGCAAATATGGTCCAATAGTCCTAATGCTGGCACAGTTGGAAAACAGCAGCTACCCTGTGACTTTGAAGAACAGGTGGAAACCATGACAGAACTCTTGAACCAATAGTATTTCCAAGCCAAGCTATTGCTTGTAAATACCCATAGTCAGCATGCTGAGTGAGGGCTATGAATAAGCATCAGTCAGTGGCTAGGAGCAGGCACTGCTGAAGTGCCATTATAATGGGTGTAAGAGGATGTTAACCAGCGTGGGATAGTCAAATCGATTAACAGCTGTTACTTACTAGACTAACTCCTGCAGTTCAGAGCTGCTATTGGTTCATCTTGCAAACTTGAATCACTTTTGTTTCCAGAAGATACAGGTGACCGCTCAGGGCTTAGTTAGGGTTCGGGGCAGAGATACCTCTGTCACTTGACTCCTGCACAACATAAAACAATTAAACAAGAGTAGTGGCTAAACTTTTGAAGGCGTTACTGGAGGGTTTTGATGATTTAAGTTCATTAATCCTGTTCAGAATGTAACCTGCCATTTTTATGTGGGTATGTTTTCTGTGTGTACATAAGAAAATGACACATCATAGAATTTAGTTCAAATAACTCCAACTCAAAAAGAAAAAAAAAAACAACCAAAAAAAACCCGACCCAAACAAGCAAACCCGAACAACAAAATCCTCTGCTTAAGACTTACAATTTAGTTTAGTTGGAACTGAAAATAAAAAGCTGTATAAGGAAGGATAACTTCATTAGGAAGGACTCGCCACTTTACTACCTGTTGCCATTGAGCGCGTACAATGTTTCTGTGGTCTGAGGCTTTATCTGCATTCTTCAATTCTCTTTTTAAACCTGGCCTACTAGTTGTTCCGCAGTTTCTTGAATTCAGAGGTTGGGCGTCTGAGCAGAGCACTTGTTCTATGTTTCTGTGGCCGCTTAAGCAAGCCCAAATAGGCTTAAACTCATGTAAGTAACTGCTACACATGAAGTCTTCCCAAAACATCCAAGTGGCATATACAAGAGGAAGCCAAATTTAAGACAAAATCAGTGTGAAGCAAGTGGAACTGGCCCCATAGGCCATTTGCTTCTGGAATCCACTTTTTTCTTTCCTTTCATTGTCTTCCCCACTGTGGGTAGCTCCATTCATACGTGGACAGCTGCATTCAATTCTTGCTGCTCACTTCATGCCAGTTACCCACCCCTCATAATCCAGACCAGAGGTTAACATATTCAAGCTCAGTGAGGAAAACTGTAGAGGTAAATGGAGTCCCACATAGTCGTAAAGTGCTTTAAAAGTCTCCAGGCTCTGTGTTTTGGGTTGTGTGCTATAGTTTTGGATATTTAGCTTTCTTACTAAAGCACCTGTTTGAGAAATAATACATAAACATGACAAGAAACAAGAATGGCGCTGCTTGCACAGAAGACTTAATAGAAAGCAAATAACCATGAGCTTTACAGGCGGATTTGAAGGAGGAAAATGTGATAGCTTGGAAAATGTGTTCCAATGAAAACTGAACAGCTTTAAATGCAGCTACACTGGCATTAGCATTCAGTATGCTAATGACTTCAAAGTGACCTGGGCTCCACTGTGCTGCAAATAGATTTCTTTGTATTGGTACACACAGCCTTGTGCTTTCTGGTCCATAGCCTTATTCATTAATCCTTACTGACATCTATTATTGAATTTGCCTTCTCTGAACAGTTGGTTTCCACCTCTGTTATTAAATCTCCATCCTAGCAAATAGATAAAAATCACCTTTAAAACACAGCCTAGTGAGGACACAAGCTAGTGGCTTGGACATTGTTTTTTCTAAAGACAGTAGCCCTACTGTTTCAATGTGTATTTATTTTTGTTGGTAGTTGATATTCACATGTGTGTTCAGGTCTGACAACAGTTTTGTTCTCTTGGTGAGGGAATTTTTCCTGGAAGGTTACAAAAGCCCATTAATACAGCTGCACAATGCGGTGCTGAGGAGCGTGCATGCATGAACTACAAGTCTGCCAGCTTTTTGTGAAGCTCTGCAGGGGACAGTATACTGAAATAAAGCCTTTCAGGCCCTTTTAATGTAGTTCTGACCTTCCACTCTATATTAAACAGATGACTGGAACCAGAAAGATAGGTCATTGTGATTGCAGTTAATATTTGTAAGGACCAAAGCAGCTCTCAGCCTTTGAGGTAGAAGGGAATCATCTTAAGTGTGAAAATGTATCATCACAAGAATGGAGAGGATCAAAGGAAGGCCAGCTGGTGCTCGGACATCTTTTCATAACCTTTATTACAATGCTAGAATACACTAACCTCAATGGGAAGTCCATTCAGTTGACGTATTTCAAATAGATAATCTGTATTCTGGAGAAACAAAGCAAGCTAAAAAAGCCCCTTCTCAAAAGGGGGTGGTCGACACAAATTTGCCTATGATTTAATCACATTGGTTGTCTAAAATCAGCTTAGCTTTTTCAATGCAAATAGATGAATGTATGACATGCTTATTTTAG